AGAGTTGACTTTTGGCTAAGTGTGCAATGCTAAGCACAACACCACTGGGATTGTGTGTTATCGGAGTTGAATGCACACAGATTTCCCCGGCCTTTCCTCTGGCATTGGCTCTTGGAGACAGTTGTTCTGAACTCGCGATGATTGGATTACTGAAGAAGAGACGCCAGAAGCTTTAGTGCTTTTCTCATGCCTTAGCTCACCTAGTCCTGACCCAACTTACCCTCACTAAGCCCAATGCCTCACGCATTCCCTCCACCGTAGTGCTTGTTTTCAGTGACGTGCGGTGATGCCTTAAAGAGGCTTGGCACTGAGTTATGAAAGCTAGATTACCTGATTTATTGTTTAGGATAATAATACGTAATAACAGTAAACGTTACGCACAAGCGCAGCAGAACAAGAAATGTACAAATCAGGATGTATATCGTGTACTCAGTCTCTCTCTTTCGCACACACACACACACGCAAGCGCGGCACAGGCACACACCGCTATAGTTAATGTCCACTCCAGCATCAGAATGCAACCATTCTTAATCCTTAATTGTTGCACAGCGGCCAAATATATTTTTCAGTCAGCAAAAGTAAAATCACACACTGCTCAATTGAATATGAAGGCAAATGGCTTGCATTAATTCAACCACATTGATCAATTCAATATTAAAGGTGCTCTATGTAACTTTTCTACTAAAATGAATCCTTTTTTTATTGCCTGTGTGTGAAGGGGTTGTAATCACACATTAAAATGATCCACTTGTCGAGTTTTGCTATTACCTCTGAAGGCCAGTATTCCTATTTTTATGTGAAGTCTCCGGGTCGGATTTACCGCGAAATCCAACGGATGTGACGTGCATGCGCGCTCCCGAGCCTCTCTCCTTATATACAGTCTATTGTAGACGGTCAGGGAGTTACGTCCGGTTAAAGGCGCACGTTTTTCGGCTTATATCTCAGTCAATCTTTGATCAATATTCCCAAGACTCTAATCGTTCGTAGTGCTGGACGGGGCCTTTCGAACGAGCCCACCCCCGAGGTCCAACTCGCCCGGCTCCCCGAGTTATAGCCGTTCGAAATCGAGGGTCCCAGCGAACGGCGATCCGGTAGGGGGCGTCCCCGAGGCCCGCCACTCTAGCGTTCGGGCAAGGGTTCCCCTGGGACCTCCTCCTCCGAATTTGAGCTCTCTGGGTCTTTGCGTTCCAGAGATACGAGCGATTTTCTTCTGAGATCGTGACGTCACCGGCGTCCGCAATTTTGCAGCGCGCCCGATGGTTTTCTGCTAATATCTCCGCGAAAACACCACCAAAAACTATGGAACTTATATGGTTCTTTTCAGCTCGACTAGATGGTCCCAACGAGCTCGGTGCTCGCCGAATCCGTCTAGTATTCGCCGAGATATTTGCGTAATAGACGGTATTGTCTATGAGTTCGAGCACGAGCGCTCTTGTAAAATTTGGTTGCAATCTGAAACATCACCACTAGAGGCCGCTAAAAGTTACGTAGAGCACCTTTAAGCCCAAAATAGTTTTTGACTCACCAATCGGTAGATTATTTGTACATAAAATCCATCCGCCGCTCATTCCCCGTAAAGACGTCGATCTCAACTTTGTAAAACTCGTCTTTACGGCCTCCAGTTGCTGCACTAGTCCATCTAAGGCTGGCGTAGACCTCCCTCTTGCTATTAACTCAGATTTTGAATTAAAATCGAGCTTGAAAAAATGTCTTAACTCTGTGATCACGGCCGATGCTGCCATTTTGACTTTGAATTTGGCGGGGATTAGGCATAGGCTAGCTGTGGTGTAATGACGTTAGCTATGCAAATGTGTCCAGTAATATCTCGATTTTAATTGGTCCATGTCTGATATGTAACGTAGATGGGTACGGGCATAGCATATTTACGTCCAAAGGCACAGCAGAGTTGTGCTTTTTGCCGTACATGTTAAAGAATACAGGATCGAAGTGCGCATGCGCAACATGGGTTTTTCGCTTGTCGTCTGCAATGAATGGACCGTAAAAGCACTGCTTATTCTACCATTGGTTTTTTATTTGATTATGCGTAACTACTACTGTGGGAGCCATTTGCTATTTGTTGATGTAGTGGTGGTGGTCAACACTAGAGGGCAGTGTGCCTATGCTATAGTAGCGAAGGTCACGGTGGCACAGGCGCGCCAGCTGATTTAATGCACAGGTGTAGCGAGGGAAAGGATGCTAGGGTGGCGGGGAGATCACACGGTTTTTACCGCTGGCACGCCACAGCTAGATTAGCCCTCACGTTTGCCTATACCCTGAGCTCTGTAAACTATCTTTCCATTAAATGGGAACACCACCCAAAGACGCTAAACGTTGTGGACTTCAAATTCATCCGAAGTGGACAAATAGCGCGTCAAAAACATGATCTAGCCCTCACCCTGCCGAGTGTCTGATTAGTGCTAAGACAGTCACTACACAAGTAAAAACCGCGATCTCGCTGAGATGTCCTGGAGGAAGAACAAATGAAAAGCTGGTTTCGTTTGGATACGTTGGAAGTTGGACAGCGGCTGGATTTCGTTGGAGTGCTTTGGAAGTTGAATAAGCAAATGGATTGCTTTATCGAGCTTGAAATTGCAGTATGGTAGAGCTATAAACTGGGTCATCCATCGCCAATCCTGAGGTAGGATAAATCTTTTTATCATTGACCGGCAAAGGAAAACTTGGACGTTCTTGATAAGCAGGTTACGAACTGAAAGACTTTTACGTCTGCACAACAGTTGACGCAGTGTTAATAATATTGCTATATATGGTCACGTATTGCGAGTGTGTTGCCTAGGCAAACTAAAAGGCAATAGTCGACATAGCGCAATAACAAGGCTCGTGAATCTTACAAAGTAATCTGTTGAAAATGAGTGACACACAAGGCAATGATGAAAATAAAGCTACAGAGTTGCAACGTGAGGGTAGCGAAAAAAGGACAAGAAAGCCTACCGCTAAAGGAATCGTTATGATAATAGAAAGACTTCAAAAGGAAAGAAGTATGGTTTTTAAAAAAACAAGCAAAATAAAAGCAGACATCGTCCCGTTTTTGGTTGAAAAGGTTCCTGCAAATGTGACAAGCGTTCAACAAAAGCTAAAAGGGTTTAAGTCTCTATGTCAAAATGCCTTTGATCTTCACAACTCATTGCTCAATGAGTTTTCTCTGCCTGAAGAGGAACAGAAAAGACAGGAAGAATGGTTTCAGTCAAAAAGGTCCGTTAATGATGCCTTTGTTGAGGAAGTGTATAAATGGTTGAAGGAGATGGGAGCTTCATGTGATGATGAAAATGTGAATGATGTCGCTGACATTGTTGATGATGATGGTGATGATGACGATGATGACGATGATGATGATGATGATGGTGATGGCCAGGGGGCACAACGAAAGGTGAAAACCAAAGATGCTCAATCTGTGTGTCAAGATGACATTGGGCCAGGGGACAGTGTTTCTAATGTGTCCAGCAAAAGATCAAGCAAAAGAAGCCATGGCAGTTCCAGTACATCTTCCGCACGGTTAAAGGCAAAGGCAGAAAAGGCAGCTTTGATGGAGAAGGCTGCTGCTTTACAAAGGAAGCATCAGCTCGAGGAACAAGAGGAGGAACTCCGATTGGAAAGAGTCAAGCTGAGGAAAAGAAAGGAACAGTTGGAACTTGATGCACAAATTGCTATGGCTGCTGCAAGGCTTTCAGTGCTGGAAGGCAGTGGTGTGGGAATGGCTGCATCAGATGGAATGAACTCATACGTGAGTAAGGCATGTAAAGGGCAAAGTCTTGAACTTAATCCAAACGCAAGCATTTATGTTCCTAAACAAAGCACAATGGCTACAAAACCAACCTCAAGAGAACCACTTTTGTCTCCTATGCATGTCAAGGACCCCTTTGCACGCTCACAGAATCACGAACAGTGTCGTGTCATATCATCAGCAAGGGATAGCACTTTTAGACTGCAGTCACAGCCACACAAGGGAATACATGGTACTGGCCAACAGCATCGGTTTGAAAATGTTCCTACAACCTTAGCAACTGTGCCTGCTGGATCAGTAGCTGCACAAGAACAGCAATTGCACAGGCTTCAGCCAGCACAGAACACTCCACCAATGCATAGCACTGTGGACCGGAATGCCATAAGTGGAATCTTGCAAAAGCAGAATGAGATTACAGCAATGCTTGTGCAGCAGCAAATGTCATCAAGTTTGCCACAGAAAGACATTGCCATATTCGATGGGGATCCATTGCAATTTCTTTCATTTGTTAGAGCTTTTGAACACTGTATCGAGGGGAGAACTAGCAGCTATCAAGACTGTCTGTACCTGTTAGAGCAATATACTACAGGGCAGCCTAGAGAGCTGGTTCGAAGTTGCTTGCACATGTCATCGCAGCAAGGATATCAAAGAGCAAAAGGTCTTCTGAGAGAGCACTTTGGCAGTGAACAGAAGATAGCAACCGCCTACATGGACAAGGTGTTCGGATGGCCTATCGTAAAGGCTGAGGATGTTAAGGCATTGCAAGAATTTGCACTTTTCCTACGAGGCTGCTGCAATGTTATGACTGAGATACAATGTATGGAGGAATTGAATATTCCATCAAATATGAAGAATGTGATAATGAAATGGCCGTACAGGCTGCGGGACAGATGGAGATCTATGGCCTGTGAGCTACAAGAGCGACGAGGCTATCGAGCCACCTTTCCTGATATGGTGAACTTTCTTGAGACTCAAGTCAAAATCTTGTCTCATCCGCTTTTTGGTGATATTGCAGACACACAATCCAGCGCTTTGAAGGTTGTGAGTAGTAGAAGGCCAGTGTCCAGGAGTAATATCAAAGGAAGCAGTTTTGCAACTAACATTTCGGCGATGCCAAGCCAGCCCAGTGCTTCGAAGGAGTCAGGCTTAGAATTCTGTCACTATTGTAAGCAGTGTCATCTGTTGCCCAAGTGTCCAGGCTTGAACAAAATTCCTCACAGGGAGAAGATTGAATTCTTGAGAGGAAAGGGTATTTGCTTTGGATGCTTGAAAGTGGGCCACATGAGTAAAGAGTGTAGAAGTCGTCTGACCTGTGATGAATGCAATCTGAAACATCCAACTATTTTGCACATCTACAATAAGGACAAGATAACTAAGACACAGGAAGTAGAAGTAAATAACGCACTGGTGTCGCTGCAGGCATGTGGTTGTACTGGGGCCGGAGATCAACATTGTACTCTTTCCATCATTCCTGTACAGGTGAAAGCTAAGAAAGGACACAAGGTGCTCAGAACATATGCCTTCTTGGACCCTGGAAGTACAGCAACATTTTGTACTAACAGGTTTTTGAAGAAGTTGAATCTGCAGGGTAAAAGGACCAACATTCTACTACGCACCATGGGCCAAGAGAAGGTTGTTGAAAGTCAAGTTGTTCCAGGTCTAGAGGTGTCCAAATTGGGTGGCAGCCAGTTCTTGGACCTCCCGGAGGTATACACACAGGACGCAATTCCAGTGTCAAAGAGCAACATTCCTAACCAGCAAGACCTTGAGAAATGGGAATATTTGAGAGATGTTAAAATTCCAGAATTGGATGCAGATGTTGAAATCTTGATTGGGACCAATGCACCAAAATTGATGGAGCCTTGGGAAATTGTTAACAGCGAAGGTGGTGGACCCTACGCCGTGAGGACCCTATTGGGGTGGGTCATCAACGGTCCATTGAGAGGCAATAGTGGATGTTGCAAGAGTAGCTGCTCAACCGTCTATGCCAATAGGATATCCATAACCAGGCTGGAGGAGATGTTGGTTTATCAGTACAACCAAGACTTTAATGAGAAGTCATTGGAGGAGAGGCAGGAGATGTCAAGGGAAGACTTGAGGTTCATGGAGGTCCTTGAGAAGTCTACACACTTGCAAGGAGGTCATTACTGCATGGATTTACCCTTCAAGACTGATGACATCACCATGCCAAATAACCGGTGCATAGTGGAACAGCGTGTTAACTGTCTAAAAAGAAAGTTTGAAAGGAACAAATCTTATCAGGAGGAGTATACAGCGTTTCTCTCACAGATGATTGACAGCGGATATGCTGAAGTGGTGCCTAAAGACCAGCTGGATTGTACAGAAGGCCATGTGTGGTATCTACCTCATCATGGGGTGTATCACCCAAGAAAGAAGTCTCTAAGGGTGGTTTTTGACTGTGGAGCTGGATTTAAAGGAACATCCTTGAATTATCAGTTGTTGCAAGGTCCTGACTTTACCAATTCACTTTTTGGCGTTTTAACAAGATTCAGACAGGAGAGTGTTGCCCTGATGACCGATGTCCAGGCTATGTTTCATCAAGTGAGGGTGTCGAAAAGACACGTGGATTTCCTTCGTTTTCTATGGTGGCCAGAGGGAGATACGACACAAAGCCCACTGGAACATAGAATGAAGGTGCACATCTTTGGAGCTGTCTCGTCACCGAGCTGTGCAAGCTACGCTTTAAGGAGAACTGCGGCAGACAACAAGGACAACTTTCAAGCTGAAGTGATTGAGACCATATACAACAACTTTTATGTGGATGACTGTCTAAAGTCATTGCCTTCAGAGAAGGAGGCTATAAAGTTGGTTGCGGATCTCACCGAGTTGTGCTCAAAGGGAGGGTTTCGACTGCTCAAATGGACAAGTAACAGTCGGGCCGTGTTGTCGTCCATTCCTGAAGAAAAGCGATCCAAAACAACTAGGCAGCTGCACCTGGAACAAGACCGGCTACCCATGGAGATGGCACTTGGACTGAATTGGTGTGCTGAAAGTGACACTTTTACATTTAAACCTGCAGTGGAAAGACGGCCACATACTAGACGCGGAATTCTATCAATCGTTGGTTCCATATATGACCCATTGGGTTTTTTATCTCCTTTGACCTTGCTGCCAAAGTTGCTGTTGCAAGAAATGTGCCGAAAAAACTTGTCTTGGGATGAGCCCATACCACAGACACTTTTACAACAGTGGACCGGATGGCTGTCGGACTTGGAGAAGGTGGCGAAGCTTAAGGTGAGCCGCTGTATCAAGCCAAAGGGCTTTGGAAGATCTGCCAGTGCACAGCTACATCATTTTGCTGATGCTAGCAGCTATGGTTATGGCACAGTGTCATATCTAAGGCTGGTGAGTCAAGAGGAGCGAGTGCATGTTGCCTTTATGTTGGGTAAAGCCAGGGTTGCGCCATTAAAACAGACAACTATCCCTCGTCTTGAGCTCACGGCTGCAGTGTTGGCGGTTAAGGTCGATAGGATGTTGAAGAAGGAGCTGTTGCTGCAATTGGAGGAGTCACACTTCTGGACAGACAGTCAGACTGTGTTGAAATACATCAACAATGAAACAAAACGCTTTCATACCTTTGTTGCTAACAGAGTGGCTGCAATACGGGAAGCAACAAATCTCAGTCAGTGGAAGTATATCAGCTCCAAGAACAATCCCGCTGATGAAGCCTCCAGGGGTCTGAGTGTGGATAACTTTCTTGCCTGTAAGAGGTGGTTGGAGGGTCCTGACTTTCTCCAAAGACCGGAAATGGATTGGCCAAGACCTTTGGAGCCGCAGCCCATCTCCTCAGACGACCCAGAGGTAAAAAGGGACGTCCTGGTAAATATGATTACACACACAGAAGATGCGACCTCTAAGCTCATGACTTACTTTTCTGACTGGTCTAAACTTAAAATCTCTGTAGCTTGGTACTTAAGGCTCAAATCTATTCTTTTGGAGCTGAGCAGAGAGAGGAAGTTGATTCTGGCTTCTTTAGATCTTACTGGCTCATCTTTGGAGGAGAGGATGAGAGAGGTTAGAGGAGCAATTGGCAAACAACCACTTTCTGTGAGTGAGCTCTCTAAAGCCGAAGCTGCTATCATACATTTCAGTCAGCAAGTAACATTTCAGGAAGAAATCTCAATGTTGAAAAGTGGAGCATCTTTTGTGAAGAAAACAAGCAACATTTACAAATTAGATCCAGTGCTCAGTGACAATTTGTTGAGAGTAGGTGGAAGACTGGGCCGTGCAGCTTTGCCTGAAGAGCTCAAGCATCCTGCGATTCTCTGTAAGGGGCAACATATATCCAGTCTTATTCTGCGGTCCATACATCAACAGCTTGGGCATGCTGGACGGAACCATATGCTCTCGACTTTGCGGCGCAAGTATTGGGTTACTAACGCCAACTCTGCTTGCCGGAGAATAATATCTGAGTGTGTGGTCTGTAGAAGGCATCGCGGACAGCCAAGTGAGCAGAAGATGGCTGATTTACCCAGTGAAAGAATAAGTCCAGATCTGCCTCCCTTCACCAACGTCGGGGTGGATTATTTCGGACCCATTGAAGTCAAGAGGGGGCGTGCTATGGCCAAAAGATATGGGGTCATCTTCACCTGTATGGCCAGTAGAGCTGTGCATTTGGAGGTTGCTTACACTCTGACCACGGATTCTTGTGTCAATGCTATTAGGAGATTCATTTGTCGAAGAGGTCAGATCTGCAGTTTAAGATCGGACAATGGTACCAACTTTGTTGGTGCAGAGCGAGAGTTAAGAGAAGCTTTAGCAGCTATTGATTACAGCAAGATTCATGGTGCTCTCATAAAAAGGGGCATCGATTGGATTTTTAACACCCCGGCTGCATCACATCATGGCGGCGTTTGGGAGCGCCTCATTAAGATAGTCAAGCGAGTTCTGTATTCTGTTCTGCAGCAACAGTCTTTGGATGATGAAAGCTTCCATACCATTCTGTGTGAGGTGGAAGCCATTCTGAATGACCGTCCGATAACCAAGGTGTCTGACGATGTTAACGACTTGGAAGCGCTCACACCCAACCACATCCTTTTGCTGAAAGGAAAACCTGTTCTTGCCCCTGGAATCTTTCAAGAGAATGATCTTTACATTAGAAGACGATGGAGACAAGTTCAGTATCTTTCAACTTTGTTCTGGAAAAGGTGGATAAGGGAGTACCTGCCGCTGTTACAGGAACGGCAAAAGTGGGCGAGGCCGCGAAGAAGTTTTGAAATGGGAGACATTGTAATCATTATGGATCACACTGCTCCGCGTGGATCATGGATTATGGGAAGAGTGACAAAGACTTACCCAGATAAGAAGGGCTTCATACGTGCCGTGCAGTTGAAGACTAAGACAGGGCAGTTGGAGCGCCCTATTTCCAAGCTTTTCCTGTTGCAAGAAGCTGTGTAATGGTCATGACCCAACGCTGGTTAACATCCAATCCAGAAGAAAGAAGACCTTCTTGAATGACTCCCTGTTTTGTAGTTTAATTGGGCACACTGTCCCAATTAGGGGCCGGTGTGTGGGAGCCATTTGCTATTTGTTGATGTAGTGGTGGTGGTCAACACTAGAGGGCAGTGTGCCTATGCTATAGTAGCGAAGGTCACGGTGGCACAGGCGCGCCAGCTGATTTAATGCACAGGTGTAGCGAGGGAAAGGATGCTAGGGTGGCGGGGAGATCACACGGTTTTTACCGCTGGCACGCCACAGCTAGATTAGCCCTCACGTTTGCCTATACCCTGAGCTCTGTAAACTATCTTTCCATTAAATGGGAACACCACCCAAAGACGCTAAACGTTGTGGACTTCAAATTCATCCGAAGTGGACAAATAGCGCGTCAAAAACATGATCTAGCCCTCACCCTGCCGAGTGTCTGATTAGTGCTAAGACAGTCACTACAACTACATTTGTCATCGGAACGTCTAAACAATTGGAATAATACACATATTGCATATATAAATCACAAGAATAAACAGTAAAAATACAAATACAAGTTTATTATTTAATAAACATTTTTATTTTAGAATTTTGGCAGGGAAGGCAGTGCCTAGTTTGCCTACCCAGACCGCACGTCACTGCTTGTTTTTCAGACACCTACGCTCTTAAAAATAAAGATTATTTGTAGCACCAACATGATTTGTCTTTGTTTTGTTTGCTGCTCTTTAGTCATTTTTGAACGAAAATTTTAGTTTTATTTTAAAATAATTACGAAATGGTACGAAAACTTGGTAAAGGTTTTGGCATTTGCTATGTGAACACAAACACACACACACAAAATTAGTCCCACTTGTGCTCCTCGCGGTCAGAAATGCCGCATTGGAAATGAATGGAGAGTTTCCTCTAGTGGAAGCGTTTGGAACTGCAGCCGAACACACTCTCACTGAACATTTTTTTGAGATATCAACCTCAAATTTGGGGCACAACTTGTTTATGGTTTTGATTTTCTTGCAGTTTTAGAGTAAAACGTGATTTTGAAAATATATATTTTGATATAAAAATTTAAAATAGTATTTTTGTGCATTTTTCATAATACACGTAATACACGTCTTTTTTAAGTTTACTTTTTTAAACTTTATTCACTTCAGCAATAATCTGCCGAGTGTCATTTTTAAAAAGAGATCAAACTTCAGTCTGTCGTTCTAAAGCGTTAGAGATTCTCCACAGTTTAAGTTGGAAATTTCATTTTCAGGTCTGAGTGAATAAATGGATTATAAATAGTGTAAATATCATTGAGTATAAAAAAAATCCCCTAAAATGACAAAACATTAAATAAAAAACATTATCAAACTAAAATATAGTATAATTTCACTGACAAAATAATAATAATCAGAGACCAAAACTGAGTAATATCTGTATTATTATAGTAATATCTGATAAGATATTATAGTTATAGTATAAGTTATATTGATTCTCAAGTAAATTGATTTAAGAATGTTTCACTATTTTTACTGGAAAAGACTACAAAACAAAACACACATTCCAATGAGGAATATATTTTTTGATTTTGAGTTGAGACTTTCTCCAGTCTTTTAAACCCATTTTAGGAGCTTTATATTTCCTTCACCTTCACTACTTAAAACCCATAAACCTCTCACACAGCCAAAACACACTGGATTGCTTGATACTCATTTTCTTTAGTCATCTCTCTAAAGCTAATTTGGCAATAACATGTCATGACCTCCACCATCGGGGTCACCAGTGGCGTAATACACAAATAAGAGACAAAGCAATCTACAGTTGCCTCATTCCCAGCCTTGTTAGTCACCTACCTCCCTTTATGCCATGGCAAAACATCTTGGAAATTGCATTTGTTGGGAATGCACATCACAAGTATACTGAAGACTGGGAAGTTGCAGCATTCTGGGAAGATTCCCACAGGCTATTGCAAGACAGCTCTGGAAAATAGTGCAAGTGCCTGAAAAACGGTAGATTTCACAGAACAATACAATAAAGCAGCACTGTTGAGAGGCAGGTGGACATATAAAGAGCTAAAGGTGCTAACGGAGCGCCTCCTAGTGGACACTGCAGGATTACGCCATTCAAACGTGTGTTTCTGATCATTCTCAGTCGTGAAGTCCATTCAAAGGCTGTTCACTTGATAGCAACTGTGCAAATCTTCGTCAGAGGGTTTCAAGGCCTAATATGTTGTTTCTGCTGAGATTTGAGAGGCAGTCGTCAGTAAAATAAAGGGAACTAGGCATCCAGAAAATTAAAATACAAGGCATGTACATTTATTTACTGAAATATGCTGTGGTGCAGGACACAAGCCTGAAAGAAAGCTAAATGAGTGAATTCATAAAGCTTCGCGAGTCTAATCGGACATTATGTAAAGCCAAATTGCTTTGGTTACATTTTCCACCGTTGCAACTGTAGATTGCTAATGTGGAGATCAGGATTATTGCTCTTTCAGGACTTTAAGGAAGCGTTTGCTGAAACTCCTAAGGAGAAATAAAACAAACACATGTAAGTAGATAGTAGGAATTTAAAGAAAAATAATTGGTGTAGAAAAAATTCACACAGAAATCGCTAGTAAATTACAAAAAAAATAGCAAGTAACAATGATTTAAATGTTATAATTTGAAGTAAAAACTAAAATAATAGTAAAAAGAATGATTAAATGATTAAAAGTAAAACGTATCAACAACTGTGTATAAATAATGTAACAAGTAACAACTATGTATAAATAATGTAACGAGTAACAACTATGTATAAATAATGTAACGAGTAACAACTATGTATAAATAATGTAACGAGTAACAACTATGTATAAATAATGTAACGAATAACAACTATGTATAAATAATGTAACGAGTAACAACTATGTATAAATAATGTAACGAGTAACAACTATGTATAAATAATGTAACGAGTAACAACTATGTATAAATAATGTAACGAGTAACAACTATGTATAAATAATGTAACGAGTAACAACTATGTATAAATAATGTAACGAATAACAACTATGTATAAATAATGTAACGAGTAACAACTATGTATAAATAATGTAACGAGTAACAACTATGTATAAATAATGTAACGAGTAACAACTATGTATAAATAATGTAACGAGTAACAACTATGTATAAATAATGTAACGAGTAACAACTATGTATAAATAATGTAACGAGTAACAACTATGTATAAATAATGTAACGAGTAACAACTATGTATAAATAATGTAACGAGTAACAACTATGTATAAATAATGTAACGAGTAACAACTATGTATAAATAATGTAACGAGTAACAACTATGTATAAATAAGTAACAACTATGTATAAATAATGTAACGAGTAACAACTATGTATAAATAATGTAACGAGTAACAACTATGTATAAATAATGTAACAAGTAACAACTATGTATAAATAATGTAACGAGTAACAACTATGTATAAATAATGTAACGAGTAACAACTATGTATAAATAATGTAACGAGTAACAACTATGTATAAATAATGTAACGAGTAACAACTGTGTATAAATAATGTAACAAGTAACAACTATGTATAAACAAGTAACAACTATGTATAAATAATGTAACAAGTAACAACTATGTATAAATAATGTAACGAGTAACAACTATGTATAAATAATGTAACGAGTAACAACTATGTATAAATAATGTAACAAGTAACAACTATGTATAAATAATGCATTAAGCAATAATCAACAGCAGCAACAAAAAAAAGGAATGTTATTTTTAGTTTTAAGTAAAAAGAAACTGCCACAATAATTCATTTTTGTCTGTTTTATGTTTGTTTGTTTTGTTCGATTCTTTTTTGTTATAAAAAAGACTGGCAATATGTTTAGTTTTGAAGTGAAAAGAAGCAGCAACAATAATTAATTTGTGTCTGTTTTATGTTTGTTTTGTTTCGTTTGATAGTTTTTTGTTTTGTTTTCTTAAAAAAAGACTTGGAATTATGTTTAGTTTTGAAGTGAAAAGAAACAGCAACAATAATTAATGTTTGTCTGTTTTATGTTTGTTTTGTTTTTTGTTTCGTTTGATAGTTTTTTGTTTTGTTTTCTTAAAAAAAAGACTGGGAATTATATGTTTAGTTTTGAAGTGAAAAGAAACAGCAACAATAATTCATTTTTGTCTGTTTTATGTTTTTTTTTTATTGTTTTTTTTTGTTTGATTATTTTTTGTTATGTTTTGTTTAAAAAAAGACAGGGAATGTTATTTTTAGTTTTGAAGTGAAAAGAAACCGCAACAATAATTCATTTTTGTCTGTTTTGTTTTTTGTTTCGTTTGATAGATTTTGTTTTGTTTTCTTTAAAAAAAACTTGGAATGATTTTTTTAGTTTTGAAGTGAAAAGAAGCAGCAACAATAATAAATTTTTGTCTGTTTTATGTTTGTTTTGTTTCGTTTGATAGTTTTTTGTTTTGTTTTCTTAAAAAAAGACTTGGAATTATGTTTAGTTTTGAAGTGAAAAGAAACAGCAACAATAATTATTGTTTGTCTGTTTTATTTTTTTTTTGTTTTTTTTGTTTCGTTTGATAGTTTTTTGTTTTGTTTTCTTAAAAAAAGACTTGGAATTATGTTTAGTTTTGAAGTGAAAAGAAACAGCAACAATAATTATTGTTTGTCTGTTTTATTTTTGTTTTGTTTTTTTTGTTTCGTTTGATAGTTTTTTGTTTTGTTTTCTTAAAAAAAGACTTGGAATTATGTTTAGTTTTGAAGTGAAAAGAAACAGCAACAATAATTAATGTTTGTCTGTTTTATGTTTGTTTTGTTTTTTGTTTCCTTTGATAGTTTTTTGTTTTGTTTTCTTTAAAAAAGACTTGGAATTATGTTTAGTTTTGAAGTGAAAAGAAACAGCAACAATAATTCATTTTTGTCTGTTTTATGTTTTTTTGATTGTTTTGTTTTGTTTGATTATTTTTTGTTATGTTTTGTTTAAAAAAAGACTGGGAATGTTATTTTTAGTTTTGAAGTGAAAAGAAACT